TCCAATCTGGGGCAGGGGGGATCAGGGTGCAGCTCCAGCTGGGCGGCGCTCACCTCAGGTGGCTCCCGGTTGGCAGTGCAGCAGTGCTAAGGCAGGCTCCCTGCCCAGCCTGGCTCTGCACTGCTCCCAGAAAGGAGGGACTAGGAGGCTTTGCACGCTGCCCGCAGGTGCTACCCCCTCAGCTCCCATTGGCTGGGAATCACAGCCAATGGCAGCTGCGGAGCTGGCCTTGGGGGCAGTGTGCGGATTTCTCTGATCGCCCCTGCTCCTAGGGGCCACAGGGACATGCCGGTCGCTTCCAGGAGCTTGTGGAGCCGACTGGACTTTTAATGGCCTGGCAACCCCAGCTTCCCCCTGCATGGGGGGGAGGGGGAGAGGAGAGGGCGCCGAGGCTTGAGGCTTCTGGCCCACGGCACGGAGACTTGCCACGGGCGGGATGAAATAAAGCAGTGGGCCAGATCCAGCCTGCAGGCCAGAGGGTCCCCATCCCTGTAATGGAGTGAGAATAGTCCAAGCCTCAAAACCCTCCTATAGGATGATGAATCCTGAGACTGGAAGTGGCAGGAAATCATACAGATTCCTCTCTTTCTTTCACTTCATGGATGCCACAAATAGTGAAAAGGTGGCAGCAAGAATAAATTATTAAAAAGGTTTAAACCGCTTCAGTAGTATTGGACACCTAGGAAATTTCTTAGTGCGGATTTGGGATTTTTGTTACAGAAAAGTTATGGTCACTGAAGCCAGTTGTATTTAAGATTACAAAAGCTTTTAAAGTAGTACCAGGATTGCCATTTGTGATTAGGTCAAGTAACATAGAGTCTATTAACCAACTGACAACAGATTTACATGGATTTAATACAGATTATAAATACTAGGGGAGGGGCAAGAAAGAATGGGGAAAATCATAGAATAATTAGGCTACTGGACCAAAAGCTCTTTGGTTTTTAAGGCAAACATGGGATGGCTTAGAAGAGTTTTCATGCAAAGTTAAATACTACTGTTCTACAGAGCCACCCCTGCAGTAGCAAGCCTGCCTATCGTTCTAATTTTGAATTGATTTCTCCAATGAATGGCTTCCCCTGTTCTCTTACTGTACCTTTTCAAAGTCTTCTTTTTCTTTTTCAGGATTTGTGTCATCAAACCTCATGATGAGTTTTCCTTTAAAGTTAACCTGGTAATGCTGATTTAGCAGAGCAGCTTTTGCATGACCAATATGTAAGTAACTAAAAATAAAGACATTTCAGAAAACAAAGTTAATGTGGCAGCAGATTAATTTACATTTCTTTTGTAGGATATAGTCTGTTGGGATCTAAGGGGGAAACGGAGAATAGGCTAAAACTTAAAACAAATCAACCATCAAAAGCTATTTTATTTTTATTGAAATATTGAACACTTATTAAAGCAATTTAATATTGTATATAGATATATAGTATATAACACCGTCTGTTAGATTTTATATCTCAAAGCTAGGACTTCATAATGCACCTGAAGATATGACTAAAACTATTCTGCAACATTCTAAACTGTTTTAGCATTAGTGTACACTGAATTTGATTTTAACTTGAACAACACTGCTCTACAGCCAAAATGCTTCTGAAATAAATGTAGTCAAACTTTACTAATTCTGGGTCACTGAGAAC